TAGGAAAATTATGCTAAGACATACGTTTGAAAAACCATAGCAATCTTTGATTGGTTTTTTTTTTGAAGACCCGATAGCTTTTATCATCTTGTTCTGGTCCAATTCAAAACATACGAAATATTTCCATGGTTTCCAGGGAAGTACGTTTTTTTTTGATCTTACGATGGGTATCCAGATCGGTTCAGGTATTGTAAGTTTACTACAGGTGATGGTGTCATTATATGTAAAATGTTTAGTTTTTTTTGTACAGTTTCGGAATAATATTTAGGAAACCCTTTTCAAAGAGCTCCTATTGGAATCTTCATAAATCACCATGTAAAAGTGCATGTTTTTTATTATAAGTAAGTACCTAACTTCATATTTAATAGCCTGGATCTGATCTTTGATTGTATTAACTTTATTTAAATTAAGATCATATTCAACTATTTTTTTTATTAACCACAGAATATAGTGCGTGCGTTATGTGCTGTAAGTAAGTATATTCTGTATTTTTCATAATTGTACTATCTATTTAAAAATAGACAAACACTTACCCAAACAACTACCCGATCTTTCATTTCTTACCTACTGGTTATATTTGGGTCATGTGATTTGTATCCTAGTTTGAATCACTGTCACTATTAGTATTCGGTCGTTATTAAAGTTAACCTACCTATAGGGTTCAGGTTCTACTATAAGTTAGACAAGGAGATGAAAAAATCTATTGACTAACTCACAGTGTAACGCCCTGTACAGGGTATTTGATTATATTTGGACCCATACCTACCACCTTTACTAAATTTTAAATAGAAAAAAAATTTCAATACAAAACTTGACAGTTTTTTTCTATATTTTCTTTTAACGGTATCAGGAAAAGCAAAATCGCATCGGAAAATGGAGAAACGTGAGCAACTTCGACATTTTTAAATGGAACACCCTGTATATTCTGCGATAAAATGAAAGATCTTTTCTTCCTGATCCTAAATATTGTCACGCTTAAGTTGGTTGTGGTCAGCGGTGCCACCACTTTTACTTCGCTTGGCTGCGTCCACTAAGGGTTTATCTGAAAAGAGAGGATATGGGGGAAGGAATACCACCACGAATATTATATTTGTTTTATTACTAAACCTTAATTACACCTTATAGTTCAAGAAGATTTACCAAAATCCTATTCCTAACACCGCAGATGTTCGTCCCTGGTGGACCATGTTTTCGATTGTCAACTCGAAATGTAAGAATGTTTAATGTTTAATGAAACCCAAGATGCACTAAAAGAACGGGCCCCCTAAGGACATAGTTCTCATAGGTCTAAACTTGGGGACGCTGTGACATGGCCGCTATAGACGAGACCTTCATCCAAAAGTTTCACAGTCTCGACTATACCTAGTCGTACCCAGCTAAGAAGGCAGGTCTTTAGGCTCGTACCTTATCAGGCATAAAGCAGTCCAGACTAACCTTGCCTTGCATTGCCGCAGTGCGTGAATTTGTATTGAAATTATTGCTGGCATAAGCAAAATCGGTCTGTTTTTAATAGTCCGGGGTGACCTCCTTTGGAAATTTACTTAATTTATGTAATGCGTGGGCTTGTGTACGTTTATGAGTTGACAATATATATACAGGGTGTCCACTTAGTGCGATATCGGACGATATCTCCTTACCGGGTGATGCAAGAAAAAAAAATTAAATTACAAAGTTGTTTTATACTCTAATATGCATTAGCTAAAAATATTTTTGAATATACCTCCGTTTATGGGGTATGCGACAGAACTTTGTTATTTTAAATGGAACACCCTGTATGTGATTGCATATTTGGATTCTATGTAAAATTCTGTGCAGATTTCATATAATATACCCTATACCTAAGTTCAACTGTTTTGGAAATATTGACAGTTGAAAATTGACTTTTTGCAAATTTGACAGGCTGTAAAACCTAAACGGTTAATTTTACACGAAAACCGATTTTTCATTCCTATCCTAGATTTTTATAAACTATCATTTGACACGAACTTTGAATTTAATCCATGATTAAAAATTCCAGTTAAATTAATCTCCGGTTAAATAAATTCAAAGTTGGTGTCAAATGATAGTTAATGAAAATCTAAGACAGGAATGTAAAATCGGGTTTCGTCTAAAATTAACCGTTTAGGTTTTACAGCCTGTCAAAGTTGCAAAAATATTGACAGTTGAAAATTGACTTTTTGCAACTTTGACAGGCTGCAGAACCTGAACGGTTAATTTTAGAGGAAAACCGATTTTACATTCCTGTCTTAGATTTTTATAAACTATCATTTGACACCAACTTAGAATTAAATCCATGATTAAAAATTCCAGTTAAATTAATCTCCGGTTAAATAAATTCAAAGTTGGTGTCAAATGATAGTTAATGAAAATCTAAGACAGGAATGTAAAATCGGGTTTCGTCTAAAATTAACCGTTTAGGTTTTACAGCCTGTCAAAGTTGCAAAAAGTCAATTTTCACCTGTCAATATTTCCAAAACACTTGAACTTAGGTATAGGTAATATTACATAAAATCTGCTCAGAATTTTACGTAGAATCCAAATATGCAATCACATACAGGGTGTTCCATTTGAAATAACAAAGTTTTGTCGCATACCCCATAAACGAAGCACCCTGTAGATTCAAAAATATTTTTAACTAATGCATATTAGAGTATGAAACAACTTTGTAATTTAAATTTTTTTTCTTGCATCTCCCTGCAAGGAAATATCGTCCAATATCGTACTAAGTGGACACCCTGTATATTTAGAATTAGGAACAGAAAATCTTTCATTTTATCACAGGGTGTTCCATTAAAAAAAGTCGAAGTTGTCTACGTTTCTCCATTTTCCGATGCGATTTTGTTTTTTCTGATAACATAAAAAGAAAATAAAGAAAAAAACTGTCAAGTTTTGTATTTAAAATTTTTTTCTATCTTAAATAATAAAAGCTGTAGGTATAGGTCCAAATATAATCAAATACCCTGTACGTATCTAAATATAAAAGAAAATAGGTATAATGGTTTTAGACTCGGTTTTAGACCAGGTTTCACATCTTATTTAATAGATTGTTAAGCTGAATTTTTAAAGTAATATTTGGTATTATTTCGAATTTTTTGGTATTATTTGGTATTTTGTGGTAAAATTTGGTAATATATGGTATTATTTGGTAATATTTGGTGAAATTTAGTATTTTCTGATATTCTTGGTATTTTTGGTATTATTTGTCAAATATGGTATTTTAGTGTACCACTTTTGGTCAGCGGTTTACCCCTCGTACCTGAGAGTGTCAATTTTCACAGGTCAGGTCGAGGCCATATAGTTATTTTCCTAACAAGTGCGCAAAGTGTTACTTTGAGCACGGAAATGCGTGCGGAAAAGTACTACTTTGCGCACGCTCGTAGGAAAAATTTTGTTTGTATTTCGTATGTCACATTTGTGTTTATTGGCACCTTTGAATGAATTTTTGGCATCGACCTGACCTGTGAAAATTGACACTCTTAGATACTGTGAGTTTGTTTATAACTGGAACACTCAATAAACTTTCTTATTGTTGAAAATAAAGGGCATGTTTAAGACGTTTAAGTTGGAAAATTTCTTGGGAAATTACAACCTTAAGCGATACAACAATATTTTTTTGTCTTCATAGGTATACAGAACAGAGTGCGCCAAAAAGGTATTTATTTATTTTCAATGGAACGCCCTGTATATTTTTGTTATCCAAATAGTGTTTGATATTTTTTAATTTTCTTAGAATTTTAAAAATGCAAAAATATACATAAAAAAATGACAACACTCATTTTCCAAATTTATTACAAAAATAACTATTCATACACTTAGGGTTTCCATACGTCCGGATTTACCCGGACATGTTTGGGTTTTTAGGGTGTCTGGGGACGTCCGGCCGGAATTCGGAATAATGTCCGGAAAACTCGGAGATACCCAAGAATGATAGTGATGATACACACTACTATTACAGGATGACCTATCATCATAAAGCCTGTGTGTAACAAACCAGAAACTTGAAGTAGAAATCCCCCCCACGCCCAAATACCAGTTGTGACTAGACAGCGTGTTATTTTTTCGCCTTGACGTAGGCTGTTTAAACAGCTGATGACGTCGGAAATGGTTTTCATTTCACACTAATATGGCAGCAGTTACCAAAAACAAGGCCGATAAGCCAGAGATAAGCACTCCTTAGAGTGTGTATTCTCCTACCAAAAATTCGAAATGTTGTATCCTGGGGTGGCAAATAAATTGTATCCTGTATCCATTTATTCTGGATTGCCTATAGCAAAGCCTATAGGATTGATACACGTATTATATTTTTGTCTCTTGTCATTGGTACCTTGTATTTGTCATTGTTTCTTCAGTCTAACGGTAAAAATGCTCAAAAACCCTTTTCACGTGGCTCCGGTTTAACAAACCGCAACATACAGCTCAAATTCGAGTGGTAGGTATCCATCAAGTAACTTTGTAACCGGGTTAGAAAACGGTATGTCATTTCTCTAACCGTTTTGTAACCCGGTTAGTTTAAACCGGAGCCACGTGAAAAGAACTAAAGCGTATCTATTAATTTCTGTAAAAATTTATGTTTGCAAAAAATAAATAAAATTCATCCCTCATAAAAAATTTATCGGCGAAGTCCGGATTTTGTCCGGATTTCTTGACTCTTAGGTCCTGGATTCCCAAAAACCTTTATGGAAACCCTACATACACTGGCTCCCAAGGAATGCAAGCCATTTTGAATATAACTATAACTTTATATGATATGATAATTGAATTATCTGGACAGTGCAGATAGATTTCAGTTGGCACTGTCTAGACAGTGTTGATATATTTCAGTCGGCATTGTCTGGTCAATGCAGATAGTTTTCAGTCGGCCTGAGGCCTATACGGACGTCCGGACAGTGCACTAGTCACTCCCATGACCCATATAAATGAAAATCTAGGTTAGAGATACAAAGACAAAATCTGAGGCAAAATCATGCAAAATCATTGCATGCATTATAAAAATATATTACCATAAATTTTATTATCCCTTATTGCAGGCAACTGCAACAAAACTGCGGGCACATCCAATTTTTTCTCAATGGACGTGCAACACATCCGAACATCAGCATCTCCCCTATCCATTTTATTCACATAAACAATCCTGGGTATATTATACCGGTCCGCCTGCCTCCATACAGTCAGAGTTTGTGCTTCAACTCCTAATGTCATATTATTAGTCCAAGAATTTTTATTATAAACTTTATTCACCTGCCTGCAGACCCATCTAAGATAACGACGACTCCATCGAGCACATTGAGAGTCTGTTCAACTTCCATTGTAAAGTCAATATGCCCTGGTGTGTCGATTAAATTAAACTGGTGCTGTTTCCAAAAAAAGGTCACTGCGGCCGATGTTATTGTAATTCCACGTTCTCGTTCTTGTTCCATATAATCTGTGACTGTATTGCCGTGATGGACTTCGCCCATATTATCAATTAGGCCAGCATAGTAGAGCATTCTTTCGGTTGTAGTGGTCTTACCTGCATCTATATGGGCACTTATGCCTATATTACGTATTTTGTTGATGTCATCTTTTGGGAATTTCACTAGATTACTAATATATCGTCTTTTTACATAACTGGACAAAAATTGTTTAGAAAAATTCATTTTTAAGCTTGAAAATAATAATGAAAATAAAAAATAGCATAACCTTTAATAAAATTTGAGAAAAAGTAAACAAACAGCAATCATAACCTCGAATTTGTATCCCAAAGGTGTTTTCAAAAAGACAAAAACTTGAACCTATCAGCACTCAACTCTAGGTTTGACTACAGGAGTACATTCATAAGTGAACGCCCGACCGACACCCGGCGCTCCCTGATCGCTAAGCTGATCGCCCAAGGCCACGTTTGGGTTCCCGCTCGGTGGACTCAGGGCTTGCATCTTTGTCTCTCTTCTGTTATTTTTGAAGCTCGGACAACGCTTGATTGTACCGGGAAACCATCTTGCTTTTTGCATACGCGCTTATTAGTTGTATTCCTTTCACACTTGGGAGGAGGTCCGGAACAGCTCCGGGGCGTTACGCGCTTATTCCTTTCAAAAATTGTTTTTCTACTGACATTTCATAATACGCTATTAAACGATTAAAATCTGTATTAAAATGAATTTCATTACGACACAGATTTTCATTATAATACTCATTTTTAATATTATACAATGTTGATAGATGGCAGCACTAGTTAAGATATTAAACATTTTTAACGGTAATTTTGCGTGAAACAATTATTTTAATAACTATAAAAAAGACTTCGAATTATTTAAAAGTTACCTAAAGTTTGGGACAAAGAATAATTATTATGGAAATAATGAGTGATAAGGAAGAATTTTTACTTTTCTCATTATTATACATTGTCAATAGATGGCGCCACCAGTTGAGAAATATTGATTTTTTTTTTTTTGAATGATGACAGCACTCTGTTTATAGCTTTTCCATGGTAATTTAGCAAAAAACAATAATTTCATGAAAAAAATACTTCAAATTGTTATTAAAAGTTACCCAATGTTTGGGATAAGGCATTATTATGGAAATATTGAGTGATAACGAAGAATTTTCACTAACACCTCCAGAAATTACAGAAAGGGCGACAAATGCAGGTAATAATATACTACCGGACAAGTCCAAGGAAATTTGCGAAAAATTATATGGACAATTTATGGATTGGAAACACCAAAAACACATCGTCCTTCTCAAAAAATGTTTTGATAGTATATTTTGAAGAATTACAACAAAAAATGAAACCTTCAACTGTATGGGTTACTCAATTATAAAATCTCTATTCAAAGTTAAGCAAAATGTTGACATATCTAAATAGCACAAGTTTTATCAATGGCAGTAGAAAAAATAGTGTATGCAACTCTCATGTAATGGCTATTAATACACTCGCATGTTATATACGAAACTCGCCTGCGGCTCGTTTCGTATCCTACAACATGCTCGTGTATTAATGGCTATCATTACATGATCATTGCATAATATACTATTGTTGCACCTGATGAGAGCTCAAGCCCGAATCAAACCATTTAGGGTGGGTATTATAAAACTACTTTGAGAGTTAACTTAAAGTTAACTTCTGGAATTACATGTAATTCAAAAAGTTAACTTCAAGTTAACTGTCAAAGCAGTTTTATAATACCCGCCCTTAAATGTATGAAAACCAGCGCATCTTGTTCGACTGTTCCTTTCAAATCGGGGTCGACTAACACCGAAGCGAGTAGCCCTAGGGTGCGTCACACCGAGTGCACACCAGCTATGCACTCGGTGTGACGACCAGGGTGATTTCGAACGCACTCCTAGTGTTTTAAACTCTTGAAAGGAATACAACTGTGAGGTGCTTTCCAGTGATCCATTGGAGCTACTCCTAAGCAGCGAGTGCTATCGTACACTTGAACTACTCTTTCTGTTATTTCCTGCCCCCTCGTGCACCAACCTTTATTTCGGTGTTTTATGCTCCTGGGCTGGGATCACGACAAGTAGAATTCTACTTTCATGACGTCATCCGCGATTTATTTATCGTGTACCAGTACAAGCGATGATGACGGTTGCTAGGCAACCTGACGTCATGAAAGTAGAATTCTGGTAGAATTCTACTTGTCGTGATCCCAGTCCAACAAATCAAAATTGTGTGAAATTTCATCAAAAATCTATTGCTAGCATTTTTGAGATATGTTTCCATTTGAAATTTAAAAAATAAAACCATTTTTGTACTTTGTACTTTGACAGTTGGGTTACGCCCACTTACAGTCATTTTAGAAAGCTGAAATATATTTCCAGCATTTTCTCTTGGCCATATTTATGGGATAATTTTTTTCCGACAAGACTACGATTAATAGTTTTTGAGATATGGCCGAGTGCCATTCTTAATGAATCACCCTGTACAAGTCTGGATAAATCTGGATGAAATCTGGAAAACTCTGGAAAGCTCTGAATAAGTCTGGAAAATGTCTGGAAAAGTCTGGAAATCTCTGGAGCTGACACGCTTTTATAATACATCGAACTAAAAAGTGAAAAATAAATATAGCTTAAAAAAACTAAAAAACACGCTTTTATAGTAAATTGAACTAAAAAGTGAAATAGCTATTTACCTAACAAGTGCGGAAAATTAATTTTTCCTACGAGCGTGCGGAAAAAGCTCTTTTTCCGCACTCATGGGCCTGCGGAAAGAGTACTTTTTCTGCACTAGTGTGGAAAAATTTTTCCGCACTAGTGTGGAAAAATTTTTCCACACGCCGTCGTGTCCTAAATGAAGAAATACCTATATGATATGCAAACAATGGTGAATGGTGAATGTACAATTTTCAGCAGACCATAAATTTAGCCGAAGCAAATGTTAAACAAATGTTGCAGATTCTATTGGATCTTCAAAAAAAAAAAAAAACAATCAAAGATTACTATGGTTTTTTGAACGTACGTCGCATTATTGTTCCTTTATTGGTCAGGATTTTTGACATGACATTTTGACATCAAAGTTCATTGACAAAATAAAGAAAAAATATTGCTAAGACATACGTTTAAAAAACCATAGCAATCTTTGATTGTTTTTTTTTTTTGTGAAGACCCGACCCGTTATCTTAGAAGTAATCACTAAAAGTAGACAGTGGAAACTTTGGGGAGGAATCCGATGGTCAATACCATCATCATGTGCTTAATCGTAAGTTTGCATCAGCGATAAATTTACAATCTGCTGAAAATTGTACATTCACCATTGAAGTTGTCAATAAAAAATGTTGTTAATTGCTCAATATAGATTCATATTTGTTTATTATTGTCTGCTCGTAGGAAAAATTGTGTTCCTAACACTTGCGGAAAGTAATTTTTCCGCACTCGATTGCTATCCGAACTCCGCTTCGCGTCGTTCGGCTAACGACAATCGCGTGTGGAAAAATGATACTTTCCGCACTTGTTAGGAAAATAACTATTTCCGCACGCGGCTGCCGTTCACCGAACGACGCGTAGCGGAGTTCGGTGATGCAGCTGAGTGCGGAAAAATATTTTCCGCAAGTGTTAGGTACAATATTTTTCCTACAGGCGAAAAAATGTAAAACTTTTCTTTTTTTTTTTGACATATGTGCGGTAAAATTTTTTCCGCACTGACAGCCGTGCGGGAAAACTCATTTTCCGCACGCATATCAGTGCGGAAAATCGATTTTTCCGCACGGCTGTAGGAAATAGCTATTTATACAATAAGTTACGAAATGAGCGTCTTTTAGGCACGCGATGTGAAAATTGTCCAACGAGGCAAAGCCGAGTTGGACAACACGTCGAGTGACTAAAAGACATCGTTTCGTAACGTATTGTATACAAGATTTTTTCTACTGGCATTTTATAATAAAAAAATACAATTTTATTTCATGTGAATAAGTCGATTACACCCAAAATCTTTGTTACCTGCTTTTACTTGCCACCTGACACTTTTCATGCGATTTTCTTTTGAAAATTCGACATCAATAATTAAAATCCTAGAAAGTAGGTAATAACACAAAGTTCTGTTTTGAGTAACCCAAACGTTCAATTCAGTAATTCCATTTTCAATATTCATAATAAATACAAAACAAAATTCAAATATGTGTTTAGTGTGTTTTTTATTTCTGAATAATGAATGACACTTTTAGGCACTAGTGCTTAAAAATTACTTTTACGCACTCATAAGTCACTTTTACGCATTCAAAAGTCACTTTGACGCACTGAGTGCCTAAAAGTAACTTTCACGCACTCAGTGCCTAAAAGAATGTCGTTTCAAAACTGAAATGACAATCGAAAAGTTGCTATTATGAAACGTCAGTAGAATAAACAAAAAATATTAATGAACAAAAAATATTAGAATTACTGTCAAAAAAGCGTGGGGTGTTCAATGTATGAGAAATGTGGAACAAAGCACCCCACGTTTTTTTCTCAATAAATCTAATATTTTTTGTTCATTAATATTTTCTGTTTATATTAATAGTATATTGTTATATTAGGAGTAGAAGCTTTACTTTTTTGTGCTGAAGCAGTAGGTTTGCGAGCCGAACGTAGTGAGGCTTGCAATACTGCTGAAGCACAAAAAAGTGCTTCTACTCCGTATGCAACACGCTATTTTTTCTCCAAACGAATGGGGTAAGCTCGGGGGCAACTGAATGGTTAAGCGGCAGTAAAAGTACGAGCGGCACTAAAAGTACTTTTGCTGCCGCTCCAGCGGCACCTCCTTGACAGGTGTTAACCAGCTGGATTTACCTACCAGCATAGAAATCTTGACAGGTGCTGACAAAGTGACGTTTTTTTGACGTTTGGAGAAAAAAATTATTTTTCACTTTTTAGTTCAATTTACTATTAGGCAATTCAAACCACGTGACAATCAAGATGGCGTGGCGGCCACACATGAGCCAAAAAACACAAAAAAATATCTAGTTTCTACCCGATTTAATAATTCAGGTTCCTAGTCAACAAATATTTTATTAAATAATCAAAATCAAAGTTGCAAACCAAACTCTAAGCAAAATAATTTAAAATGTGTTTTTTAGTTTTTTTAAACTATATTTATTTTTTTGCGTTCTTTCTCAAGTCTTTTGGAGGGGGGGGGAACGCCACTGTGTATGTTAGTATATGTGTAATGCATGCAGTTCGATGAAGGTTTCACTTCTTCTGGGTGCGAACTGCACACTTTTTTTTATAAGTTTGATTAACGAATTATTAGAAGTTGCTGTTTTGCAGACATAAATGGTGCGTC